TTTTATGGTCTACGGTTCCATGTCGTCTTTGCTAGTGGGACTACGCGCTCCATTTGGTCTAATAGGTTGGAATCCCTTCAGATCAGAACCATTATGTACTTTTAGTATTGTGACATCTTTCACAGACATGCACAAAAATTAAAGAACCCCAGGCTACAGTAGGTCCAATGTGACAAATGGTTGACGTTTTTTCGATGTTGGCCAGGACGCCTTCACCCTCAGTTGGCCAGTATGGTCGGCCGAATGCCGTCGGTTGCGGTAGCTACCAATCCCGCTACCAGTTTTCATTCTTGTTCAGTCTTACTCATCTACTTCTCTTATTGCTTCTACACGAAATTTGTAAATAAAATTAGAAACGCTATTCATTTTCAGGGTGAATTATCCGGTTTTTGTTACTGTAGTTACGTGCTGCATCTTGAGCTGCTGGAAGAACAAAGAGGAAAGTATTTTCCAGCACGCTTTGTCTCTGATAAAAAATATTTATAGCCAAACTGCAATGGACACCATATGTGTGGACTACATGAAAGAACAACTGAGGCTGTTCCGAAAGTTCCACCCTTTCGGATGTGTTGCAAGACCGCTAAAGCATACTGATGGGTCCATAAATTACGCGGTCTGGGAGTGCGCTGTAGCCGGCAAACGGCACACGTTTTGGGAAGGAGGACTTTTCAAGGTATGTCGTTATATCCACATAAGGGTGGACTGATAATGGAAGCAATGTAGGCGTATAACACGATTAATGTATGTGTATAGATCCGGTTATCTAAGTCGCACCTATTCTACCGTCTGTCCTGTACGGCCTACCGCATATCAGTGGCTCACGCGACCGCTCAACCCGGGAGCCACGCGGAGCGCTTCTGCGCCTCTCCCTTCAAACGAGCCTCTTAGGCATAGAGCGCAGACGACCAGGGTCACACACCCGGACGACCAGAGTCGCATAAAGACAGCACAGGCAGGCAGCTGGCAACGGCTGCTAAGCATGGTCGGACAACTAGAACCAATTCCTTTCGATGGCGCCGACTTCCTGTTTCTCTTCCTGTTTCTCTGCGTTTACATGATATGCTTTGGCAACAGTGACCCTACACAATGGAACCTTCACGCCTGATAAACGGCTGTTCCACCCCGGGTCCCGTTTCCACGAAAATGCTTACGCCCTGACTCGGTATGTTGAACCATTTGATTTCCTGGTAGCCGCACTCCCACTTTTCCTGCGCACTAGAATTCCGCGCCAAGACCACCACGAAAAGCTTTATTTGACGTCCCGTCTGCTGGACTATCTCTCCGCGAAACTGGTCGTCTGCCCACCAATCCCTAGCGTTTTTTGAAGAATAGATAGAGATACACGAACGGTCTCCCCAAGGCTGTGTTCATACTTCAGCGTCCACCACCGACCACTAGCGTTCCGAGCGTCCGGCAGCGTCAGCGAATAGGAAAGTATAGATTGGTCTAGCGGCCAGCAACGTCTACCAGCATATAACAGCGTCCAGAAGTGGAGAGAATGTAGCGATGGTCTGCTGCCCTCCTATCGCCACATGCTCTCCACTCCTGGACCCTGGTGGACACTGCCAGACGCTGCTAGTCGCTACATCGATGCCCATACTTCCTTAGCCCTCGATACGCCGCTGGGCTGGCGGACGCTAATGGGCGCTAGTGGACGCTGCTGGTGGCACGATATCTATACTTTTCTAATCGCTGACGTGCCTGGCACTCGGAACACTGGTGTTCGTTGGTGGACACTGCAGCAAAGTATGAACTCAGCCTGATAGCGTTAGCGTCAAAACGAGTGCGACCACTGTGGTCGTAAAGAGCCATGCAGAGAAGGAAGCAAGAAAGACCACAAAGTTTAGTAGGCTGTACCATACTGCTCGTCTGCGCTCTGAGCTCAACCCTTGCTTGCCCGTAGCCCGATGACTTTCTCTGAAAAACCACTACTGAAATATAGAGGTGGACAAGTGTAAGGGTGGTCTCTACCTTGACTCGCGCTTTATCGTAATTATTACTATTTGGTTTGAATGAAAGAAAGTCACATGTAATGCAATAATATTTTTAGTGAAATTCAGTACTTATTATACTATATTACTTCCGTAGAGTCCATAAGTGTAACTTTTCTTTAGTTCCGCCTCCTACTCAATAACTACCCAAGAGATCCGCCTTTGTGTAGATTCAGCCCCCCTATATTTCATCCAAACATCGACTGTATGGGTGAGTGTTAATTTTTTAATCAAATACATTCCATGGGGGTTTATGGAAATGCATCACCAAGGAAATTCTCAAAAATACCGTTGGGAGAGTAAGAGTTGCTTCAACATGGTCGTGGTAACGAAGAACAAACGCGCGCGTACAGTAATGAGAAAGCGGTGGTCAGCATTGTGCGAATAATACGCAGCCTCTCTCCCGAAACAAAGTTCCCTGCTGTTCCAATGGGCGTAGCTAGGATGGAGAAAACGCCGAGACGATTTCATGACCGCCACTTGTCGGCATACGATCGACACTGGAGTAGCAGCTGCTTTTCGCAAGTTTCTCCCATCCATATGCTACGGGTGTGTGTGACAGGACTCGACTGCCGGCGCTCAGAAATGTAGGTCCATCGCGCGCGGCGCGGTGGGTGAGTCCGAATTGGCATTTTGGCGAAATCCGATCGATATGACGCTATCGCATTATAGCTTGGCGTTCACTCCTTCTGTTACAAATTTCTATATGCCTAGAACATGTCAAGTATGTAAGCAAGTATAAACATGTAGTCGCCGCAAGCGGTGACCTTTCTTCCAACTCGACTACCTTCTTTCTGCGGGACGCTAACTACTGACCGCCTCCTCCCACTCTAGCCACCTAAGTCTCATTTTCTTTGTTGGAATAGATTCAGCTGGCAACATTTCAGTTGAACAAATGTGAGTTCCACGCATTTCTGCTCCAGATAGATGCACTCAGTCGATACACTGGCGGCCACTGCCTGTTAAACTCTCAGCGTTAAAGACACAGTACGCTGCAACACATTGAGGCTTGTATGAGAGATGCAGCCCCAGCTGTCGATGTGTCGTGGGTCACCCCCGCGCCCGATACGTGCGACGGTCAGAGTATGCGTGACGTTTTACTAAACACCGTTTAGCGCGGGGCGCGTGCGCTCATGACTCTCTGGCCTTTCTTTGGCCATAGTCCATGTAATTGCGCTGATTGGACATACCATAGTAGCACACGCAATTTCTTTATGCGGATACATCACTTTTGGGTTCTGCAAAACAAAACTGAAGATGGATGACCGCGGCTTAAGACTAAGAGAAACAGCATTCCGAGGACAAAAAACATCAAAATAAAAACCTAAGCGTAGTTTGAAGTATTCTATAGCGTTAAGCCGATTCCGAGCGCGGATCTACAGAAATTTACATCGTCGATTTTTACCATCTGCATCGTTGTTCTTCATTTCTAGCCTTTGTCATCTTCATCACCTTCTATTCGGACTTTGAAGCATGAGCAATACCTCAAATGTTAGGAAATTGCGTTTTGCTTGTATTGTCATGTTTTATTGTCATGTTGTCCGTTTTTATTGTCATGTTGTGGGAATGCGCGGCCTCTGAGGGATATTCTGTACAGAGAACCACAGTTGCCCTTCCGAGTTCGTAATGGCCCTTGTCATCATCTTCGGTTCTTATTTTGCAGCACCTAAAATGTTATCCGCATAAAGAAATTGCGTTGTACTTGTATTCCAAAGCGCAATTACAGGACTTGGCAAAAAGCCAAGAGAGCTGCACGCGACCGCGCCGCGCGGATGGTGTTAGCATAAACGTGAGGGCGGTAGCAGGAATTGACCGACTTCTCCGATGGTGGGTGTCCCCGTACTCTGACCCGTGCAGGTTGTTGGGGGGGACCATCATACACATCGACAGCGGGGGCTGATTCTCATTACAGCCCTCAATGTTCTTGGAGCGTTACATCGTGTCTTAAAGAGGTGGAGGTGCTTTTTGCGTATGGTACACTACGCGTGGAATGGCTGGATTGCCACAGCTAGTTTCTAGGGAGTATTTCTTCCGCAAACAACGACTGTGCGAACGTTTTTCCCTGTGGCGTCGTAGAGCGTGGGATGCCCCTCGACTCTAGCGCATTCAAATACGTCGGGCAAATGGTGTGCACGTCGGCGAGCCTAGCATGCACACATAATGGTGCAATAGGCGGGTGTAGCTTGCGAAGTTGGCACGTTTTCCCAACGTAGGCTGGCAGGTGCAGCAAGCCTTTTACCCCCTGGGACGCCAAACTTGTACCAGATCCGTCGGTGAGGAAAAAAGCACCGACTCGTACATTGGCTGGTCCCCACAAGTCGGTATGGGCCATATTTCATCCAGTAAGTCGCTACGGCTCCGAGTAGAACTAAAGCTATGATTTCGCAGAGGATAGGGCGTTTGAAGGGGCGTGATTTGAAAAGCGGCCAGAGAGAAGCCTTTCCAGCCAATCGCTCTGGACTAAGGGTGGCATTAATAGGGGACACTGTCTCCTTAGCAGCGGTTGAAGTCACGCCCCGTCACATGCCCTTTCGTTTGCAGAGATCATGGCCTAGATAAGGTGGGAGTCTGAAAGGGATGCGTTCAAGACAATACGGTGATTCTTCATTTCGCATTGCATGAAAGGTGAACGATTTTGAGGGACAGCTTGTTCGATCACAATTGCGCTGTCATTTTGTTTCAGGTTTCTTATCCATCCCGATGCTGTCTACTCGTTGGAAGACGGATATCACGATTAGACAAATCATCTGGGAAATCGATAAAGTTATCGCTGAGCCGTACACGTTTTTCCCCCCTGGTAATGAAGAAGCGCTTCGACAGTATCGTCGAGACAAGTAGTGGAATTACTCGTTAGCTTTTGATGATAATAACACTACGTAACCTGTTCAGAAAGTCCTATTATGAAGGTGTACGCATGAATGTAACGCTGAACCCGATTAGCAAGACACACGCAAGGCTTGACGGTGAGTTATTTGGTGACATTGAACACTGCACCATGATAACTTAGAGCATTCCGATGTTGATTCTAAGCTAGGGGAGAGGGAGATCTATCACGAAAGCCACATGTCTGAATTCTCACATCGTGCTGCCGAACCGAAATAGCGTACGTAAATTGAGGTTGAAATAGAAGGGGTATTAGGTTGTCCGGAAAGTTCTTAGCGTTTTGTGCACCTAATCTTTGTACATTCACTGCTGATTAAAAACTCATTCTGCTTTGCTTCTCAGTAGCACATCCTGTAGAGATTTCTTGCGCCGCTTGAAAACCTCTTTTTCAAAGACTTTTTTCAAATGGCATCGTGTGAAAAGAGCACTTTGGACGATTTTTTCTTCGGCTATAAATTGGGGCAATCCGCAATCGAAACAGCTCAACAAATTAACCAGGTGTGGAGGCCCAATAGTGCTTTGAGAAAAGCACTGGCCGCATATGGCCCAACAAATTGTCCGTTCTGGAATATTTTCAGCTTTGAAGGTGAACCTCATAGCGATCGACCTAAAGCAATTCTGACGAGGATTTTGAGGGGATTTCGGAGGCTGATCTATCCCAAACAGTTCGAGAGATAGCAGAAGAGCTAGGCGTTTGCAAATCCACTGTTGCAGATGGTCTGGAACGCATTGGGAAGGTGAAAAAACTCGACAATCTGGGTGCCCCACAATCGGAGTGACCGGCAGGAATCGGCACGTCTCGAGGTTCCTTCTTCACTGCTTTTGCGCAAAAGAATTGACCCGTTTTTGAACGGATTTGTCACCTGTGATGAAAAATGGATCATGTATGATAACAGGAGACGTTCCGGACAGTGGTTGGATTTGGAGGAACCACCGAGGTAGTACTTCAAAGCCGAACCTCGCGAAAAAAAAAATTCTGGTCAGGTTTGGTGGTCATCGGCTGTTGTAATCCACTATAACTTTTCATCACCAGGCCAAACCATCACAGCAGAACCCTACTGTGAACAAACCGACCAAATGTACCGAAAATATTGTCAGCTGCAGCCAACACTTATCAAAAGAAAGGGTCCGATTCTTTTGCATGACAACGCCCGCCCACACGTTTCACAAATCACTATCCATAAAATGAACTGAATTGGAGTTGAAGTTCTACCTACACGCCTACCAATATCTCTAGACCTTTCACCAACCGACTGTCACCTTTTCAGACATTTTCAGAACTTTCCTGCTGAGAAATACTTCATCAAACAGGACCAGGCAAAAAAGACCTTCGCAGATTTCGTGGATTCTCGACCACCCAGTTTTTTCTTTGATGGGATTTCTCGACTGCTGCCACATTGGCAAAAGTGTGCTGATTCGAATGGTGCTTATTTGGATTAAATCCGATGAGTGTTAAGAAAGTTATGATCGTTTAAAGTTAAACACCCAAAACGCTAAGAACTTTCCGGACAACACTAATTCAAGTTCATTTGTCCTGTTGCGACAGATTAGTGTACGATAGCCGGATGCGGGCGGCTCTTGCTAGCGTCATTGGTGGAATGGGTGGGGTGTGGCCAAGGAGGATGTGCGGTTTAACTGCATGAGGGCGTGGCTCAATTCCTTTCCCACCAATTGACGCTGGTTGTTGAGATAGTCGCGCTTGCAGAACCTGTCTCCACACTTCAGGGCTTTTGAATCACGAAGTTCACTTGAAAGGATCTTTTTCAGCTTGAACTGACCATTACCGTCCTCCATGAAATTCATGGGGAAACTATTTCGGTGACGGGCTAGATGAGCAGCACGCACCAATGGATACGCACGGCGTATCCACTGTCGGCAGCTGAACATTTCTGAATGCAGTGCAGTTCTTCCACCCCACCTCCTTCATCTTCTGTGCTGCGAATATGTAGAAGCCTTTTGAGCTTGGAAATTCTTGCACATATCCATTATGTCCCCGTCTGTTGGAGCCATGTATATAGCATTCCGCACCTTCACGTCATGAGCTACAATCATGATCCTTGCAAACGATAGGGCGTGTGACGGCGCGGATTGGAACGCAGCGGAGAGGTGTTTTTGCACCATTAAAGCAATCCTGAGTTCATTACATTGGGTAAAAAACCTTCCTGTGTAGCGCTCCAAGCCACGTGCTTCTCACATGCCCTACCGTATGCAAAGGTATGACTGTATTCATGTTGTCATTGTCACGTTCAATGTTTTTTTAGGGGAAGACAGGGAGCAGATAGCGATGCCGCCTGGGCCAGATCAGCAGTATGTAGTAAGACGACTATTCTCGCCAGAACCAGTTAGACCGAGACGTGTACAACAGCAATTTGTCTGTGATGATGATCCTTACAGTGTGGTTGAAGTGGATCCTTACGAAACGATTAGCCAGATTTTAATGAGACCTCCCGATAGGTCATGTCTGAAGTCATTGTCAGCATTCATTCCACAGGCAGTTTCAACAAACAATCCTTCGCAAGACATAAGACGCACGGAAGTAGAGCGACCTGATAGAGAAGCTAATAACGACATAGCCGATGTCAGAGTTCCACAAGCGTAGACCCCGGAAACCAAAAGGTGCTCGTCCCTACGCGTAGGCAGCCAAAGCGTCCTACGCGAAAGCAGCCAATGCGCCGGTGCAAAAACGGTTGTCAAAAAGATATGGTAAATAAGAACCTCGAGTCGTGCTCAAACTTGCAACATTGAGCGATTCGAGGGGTTTGCGACAATAATTTACCATTGGCACTACGTCCATCATGGTACGAGGGTACGAGCGATACAGTCACGCGATTTTCAACTTGTGCAACTGCCACCAACCACGCCCCATCGCTAATCGTTGAACACGTGCAACTGCTAATTCGTTTCACGGGTTCCATGATGTTGCAGTGGTCCAATATCAGCGGTGGGGTGCAGGCTACCGCAGTGGAGCGCTTTTCAGATCGAGCGGCAGGATTGATCTATCCACAAAGTAAGGAAGATCCAGTTTTTGAGAGACAAGTATGATAAATATTGATTTCGCTAAGTGAGAGTCTGCCTCTTCAGCAAAGTCGCAAATCTCTAAAAATACGCAAATTCCTTTCTTGAACCACCTTAAAGACAGCGCCCGCGATGGACTTTGGCAGGTCTCAGGGGTCA